ATGGCAACAAAGATAGAAAGGTATTGTAGCCTCTCATTATTTGGATCAGTGTTTTTATATTGGCAGACAACAAAGAATCTCTGATGCCCATGGTCATCGTCACATCCAGCTTCTTCAGTACATCTAAAAGCTCAATATTGCCAAGAAACACCTGCCTCCTACACAGTCTATCATTTCACCTATCAGAAGAAAGAGGCCTACATTTCCAATGCATAGTAAAGGACATATTGGTGTCATCAACCATAGGATTAACAAGATCAGTGTAATGAAGAATGATTATCCTCCAGGAGAATATCCTTTTCCAAATTCAGATCAGGCAACTTTCTCCAACCAATCAGGATTCCACCAAAAGTTCACCACTTCCTACTATGGTGGCTTCACAAGAGAAACATCTTCATTGGTTTTCCACTTGGGGATATCCCAGAATGATGGTACTATTGACGCCTCTAACATGCTGGGTACAGTTCAATCTCCACGGCCTGGCAGCAAACAACTTACCCAGCACAGAAAACTCATTAGCAGACTATGTCACCAGAGATAGATCTGAAAGAATGGTCTCTATCAGAAATGATTTTTCAGGACATCATTGCCACATGGGGAATTTAATAGATACGCCTGATGGCAATTTCATACAACAAAAAAGTTCTCAGGTGCATTTCTAGGAAGTATGATCCCTAGTCCAAGGAGAGGGATGCCCTGACATGCAAATGAAAATTCGATCTGGGATGCAATTTTCCCCTGGTCCCACTACTGTGATGGATTTGACAAGAACAGGACAGTATAATCCTGATTTGTCCATTTTGGCCTTGCTAACCATGGTTTCCACTGCTTCTGAGTCTTTGCCTAGAATCATAATGGATTCTTCCTAGCTAATTTAGCTGTTGTCTGTTCTCGGTATTCTCTTGCACCCTGCTTTTTGCTCTCCCCAAGTTTAAATGTTAATCCAGACATGGAATCCCTTGCTAACGGTGCCTTGAGATGAATCACCTCACTAACGAGACCTAACAAGGTCAAGTGATCATCTGGGGTTGCTCTATCTCTCGTGCAGAGAGAGACAGCCTGCATATCAGATCTGAACCACTTTTTTGGGTGGGATCTGTCTGATATGCAAATGGCATAGGTTCTCCTTGTAATTGCACAAGATGAGCTAAAACTAGCCGAAGGGCAAGCTAATTGAGCAATTATGCGTTCTCAGTATTCTCTTGCACACTATCTGGTTTACCTTCAATAGTAAAGTGGTAATGACCTCGAATTAAGGAATTCATTGTTACCTCCAGCACTGTCATGCAAATGTCCGTTATTCACCGCATCAACTCTAATCTACTACCATTTTATTAGCTAGCTGAGTATATTGGACATGTATTATCATAGCATATGTGATTGTTCATTAAGGTATTTTTGTGGATTTTTCTATTATACTGTGATTCACACAAAATTAGTGATTTAGTAGTCTACTTTAAAGTCAATCTTATGTAATATGTTGTACTAATATAAATATATGAACTTCTGAATAACATGGGTTGTATGTTTGATGCATTTACAAATCAATAAAAAAAGTAATTAAAAAAACAACATATATTGAGAGGTCTTCACTATGGCGTTCGTCCAACAGACTGTTTGTCATCCCAAATACAGCTAGAAAGGGAAAACGATAGGTAGATGGATTGTTTCTGCTGTTATTCATGCCTATCGGACCTCCAAAGTCTGGTGCATGCAGGAATTGAAGCTCACTCTACAAGAGCATTATCAGCCTCTTGGGTAGCAGTGGCTAATTTTCTACCTGACCTGATATGCAAAGCTGCTACCTGGCCTTCCATTAATACCTTTATTAGACACAATCAATTAGATGTTAGAGCCTATTCATTTGGCAAAAGTGTTCTCTCTGTGTCTGAACATAATGTTTAATTATATTTTGCACTAAAACTTGGTATATTTTTTCTCACAATATATTCATTTTGGCATATATCTTTGGGTTTCATTTTTATTGTCTCTACTTTTGGTTATTGCTTGGGTATCACCCACTGTTGTCCTTGTGGAGTATGGATCATTATTATTTACTATACAATATACATTGTATACGTATGGTATATATTGTATAGTATGGAGTATGTATATTTAATATGGATGTACATTTAACTGTATGGTATATGTATATACACTGTTCAAAAAAATAAAGGGAACACTTAAACAACACAATGTAACTCCAAGTCAATCACACTTCTGTGAAATCAAACTGTACACTTAGGAAGCAACACTGAGTGACAATCAATTTCACATGCTGTTGTGCAAATGGGATAGACAACAGGTGGAAATTATAGGCAATTAGCAAGACACCCCCAATAAAGGAGTGGTTGTGCAGGTGGTGACCACAGACCACTTCTCAGTTCCTATGCTTCCTGGCTGATGTTTTGGTCACTTTTGAATGCTGGCGGTGCTTTCACTCTAGTGGTAGCATGAGACGGAGTCTAAAACCCACACAAGTGGCTCAAGTAGTGCGGCTCATCCAGGATGGCACATCAATGTGAGCTGTGGCAAGAAGGTTTGCTGTGTCTGTCAGCATAGTGTCCAGAGCATGGAGGCGCTACCAGGAGACAGGCCAGTACATCAGACGTAGAGGAGGTCGTAGGAGGGCAATAACCCAGCAGCAGGACCGCTACCCCCGCCTTTGTGCAAGGGGGAACAGGAGGAGCACTGCCAGAGCCCTGCAAAATGAATTCCAGCAGGCCACAAATGTGCATGTGTCTGCTCAAACGGTCAGAAACAGACTACATGAGGGTGGTAGGAGGGCACAACGTCCACAGGTGGGGGCTGTGCTTACAGCCCAACACCATGCAGGAGTTGGCAGATGCTTTAGTCCAGGTCTGGGAGGAGATCCCTCAGGAGACCATCCGCCACCTCATCAGGAGCATGCACAGGTGTTGTAGGGAGGTCATACAGGCACGTGGAGGCAACACACTAAGGCCATTCTAAGGACCGGTACAATTATACAATTATTTAAGGTAAATTACATCTGTTTGAAAGTGAAACCAGTTTTTTTTTTCATGCAGGCTCTGTCAATCATAGCCAGGGGAGGTGTGGCTAGGGCTGCATAAACAGAAACAAAGTGATTTAACTCCTAAATGACAGTGAATTGAGCAGTGAAATTGCAGGGGAATGATCTATACACTAAAACTGCTTTATTTAGCTAAAATAATTTAGGTGACTATAGTGTTCTTTTAAAAGTGCAAAGCAGTTCCTAAGTGCACACACATACTGTTATACAATGTATATTTACTAAGCGTATCAGTGACAGGGTGCATAAAGTCAGAAGAGTGAACCATGTGTATAAAAATAGCAGATTAATCAATATGTTTAGTAAAATACTTCAGGGACGAGTCTACTGTTTACAATACATTACATCCTTAAAGCATAGAAACATAAAATGTGACGGCAGATAAGAGCCATTCGGCCCATCTAGTCTGCCCAATTTTCTTAATACTTTTATTACTCTCTTAAATCTAGGTTAGCCTTATGCCTATACCATGCATGTTTAAACTCCCGCACTGTGTTAACCTCTACCACTTCAGATGGAAGGCAATTCCATGCATCCACTACCCTCTTAAATATATTCTCCTCATTTACTGTGTTGATTCCCTTTATATATTTAAATGTATCATATCCTCACTATCTTGTATGGACGTAGCTGGGAATTTGATGCAAATAAGATAACATAGCCTACCCCAAATATCCCCCCAATAACGACAGACACCGAATTTGGATGAAACAGGCCACAGCATTTATTAAACATAAGACTGTAGGGCTCATCCAACCTTTATTAATTTATCATTTCATTATAACCAGAAATAATACATAAATAATCCATAACTTTGCATATAAAGTAACACCTAGGCCCTAGAGACTTTATATAAACATCCTTGCCAATGAACGAGACCACGTGCCTATGCACCAACTGGCCCACTGGGTTCTCGCCTCCCCCTTTGTCCAAACCAAATTCCTTTTTCCTTTTAATGCTTTTAGCTCGGTGGGCACGTCCAAGTCGGTAACTGAAAAGTTTACCCTACAGAGCAGGGGAAATTGAGACCCACCTTGTCCATCTCCTGACATTCCATGTGATAGGCCCCCAACACCTATTGGCAAGGACGCGCCCCACCCCAACCACTCAAGGCCTGTTCCACTGCTTCCTGGATAGCAAGATTAAAAAGGTCGAGCCCGACCTCCGTGAGGTGCATGCCATCACCACGGAATAAATTAGCGGCCTCCCGTTTGAACACCCTGTGGCGAACCGGGATCCCTTGAACCCCCAATACAAACTTAGAGACCCTCCTATTCAATTTAATATGGCAGCGTTCCATTGCTCTTTGATTATGGGCCTGCTGGCAGTAGACACAGAAAATGACCTCCGACCAGATGAGCCACACGTCCGGGAACAGAACCAAGATGCGTGCCAAGTGCCTCTTAATAGCATCTGCCAACCCCCAAATAGGCATTGTCCCGAGATCATTACTTCTCCCCCCCCCCCCAGTGGATAACTTGAACGCTCGGCGCACCCAGAAGGCGGGAGAGCTGAACCAGCTCCGGGAGGAGCCAAACCCATTTCATACCTCTGGTGACAAACCAGTGAACCTCCACTTCAGAAGGTGTAAAACCCAATAGCTCACCTCCCAGTTGGACAGCCACTCGCCTCCTGGCCCAGAATACATAGTGTATGATCACCCAGACCCTGGGGGGATTTCCACCTGCGGAGAAAAGCATTAATTCAGGAGGCAGGAAGGACGAACATATGAGACAAAACACCCAGATGCCCACCTCCCTATCCTCTGAACCGCTTGCACCGGCATACCCAGCCTGGAAGCCTCCGTGGCAGCACCAATTCTAAATGAATGCCTACAATATTCTTTGCTGTCAATTCCCAGGACCTCCAGCCCCGAGCGAAAAACCTGAATAAATTGGAAATGTGAAAGAAAACTCCCATCTTTTTTTTTTTAGTTCTTTATTTTTGAGTGCAGAGGAAATTAAAAGCTTAAACGGTGACATGCTTAGTACACAATATCATGGCAAACAATTGGCAAATATAGTCAAGAGGTGCTGCACTTTTTTTTTTTTTATTAAAAGTAGGAACATGAGTTAAACAAGATGTAATATAAATCCAATAACCAGCTTGGAGAATAGTGTGTCGTAGTATTAGTATCAAGGCATTGATATGGTTATGCTTGAACATGCATGAGTGAGGGACATATATTTTGTGCAGTAACGACAGGTCTGAACAGTCATAACACATGCTTATATCACAGATTTAGAGAGCAGTCCTGTACTTAGTTAGTCATAGGCAATTATAAAAAACAAAACAAAAACACATACTTTATGGAGAGTTAAGACCGGAGCCCGGCAGTGTATTGGGGCATGCGAATGGTGGCCGAGGGAGACAAACCCTGTCACCGGCACCGAACTAACGTGGAGAGTGATAAAGCTATCTGCTGAATGCTTACTGCCTGTGGGGGGCTGTCACATGTGTTTTATTGTGAAATGTACAGGTTGTGCTGATTAAGTCTGGCGAGTAGTAGATATAAATAACCCTGGTGAAGAGTTTGCCTGACTGTTGTAGGGTAGTGGTGTGTTAAGTAGCATTATCAGGTGTGGACTGTTTAGCTTTGCAGGTGAGACATATGGTTGAGATCTGTATGTTTTAACAGGTTACTGACTTATGATGGGTACTAGTCAACAGAAAAGTAAATTAAAGTAAATTAACCGGATAACAGTAGAATTTTCACGTTGTATAAATTTGGCTCCATCTTCTGCCCCCCCCCCCCCATACAGCTCAATGTCCTGCTTGTGCACTCAGGTGGCAGGTCAGCCGATCCCCGTCGCCCCCAAGGGCCAGTGGTGTGTGGAAGAGTATAGGCTTGAGTCTGCCGTGATGTAGTAGTCTGAGGGACGCCTGGCTTGTGTGTGGGAGTGCTGCTTTAAATAATTGTCCCGGGAGTCTCTTATTGCCAGGTATCTCGTTTGGAGCCTCGGCATGGAGGTGTGCTTACATGTTAGTAGCTTGGTCTTCTGTATGAGTGCTGTCTTTCGTGGTCATAGTCGCTTGGAGTTGTTTGCTTGTAGTGAGGGTCGCTGTCGGCGACGCCATCTTCTCGGTCGCATCCCCCCGTGAGGTATACCTCGTGGTCGGGAGCGTGCCCTCGGTAGGTGCTGTCTCGGAGCGTGTGCCCCCGCTTGCCGTTCAGCTAGTTTCCTCCAGAAGGCTTCAAATTTGGCATCCAGCCGTGTGAGGACATTGAGTCCCTGTGCTGTGTCTTGTGGTGTTGCGTCTTCCGCCGCCATCTTGGGTATGATTAGTCCCGTTCGATGCTGGTACCCCCGGGCCTCCAGGGGTCCGGCTGGGACCGGGATAACCCCCGCCGGTCCAAAGGGGGGGGACGAGGGCCCATTCGCCAGATGTTTTCTTTTGGGTGCAGCCGGGGAGCGGACGTCTCCCCTGTGCCGTCCAGGTTTGTAGGCCGCAGTCGCCTTGCCAGTGATTTTTGCAGGGGTAGTCGCATGCTTGGTATCATTGTGTTCCCTGCGGGTTCACCTCACATTAGGTGACCCTGCTGGATCGTTTGGGCGCTGTTTGCAGCTGGTTTGTGGCGATTATTGCCGGGTGGAGCAGGAGCTGTGCTTTTCTGCGTCCTCCCAGCTCAGCAGTCAGGCCCCGCCCCCAGAAAACTCCCATCTTGATGCACCAAAAAAGGGCATGCGGATATCGGGCGCAGCTCTCAGTACTCCCTAAAGGAAGCAACAGGGCAAATAGCTGAACCTGGGACAGCACCCAAGTGAACCCACTTACCCTTCCCAAGGACATCCGTCTTCAAACGTCGGATCTTAAACACAATATAAGCTGCGGCGCACTGAACATCGGAAAACTCTTCCCCACAGCAGTGCCAGGGCTTACCAATTCCCCAATCTGCTTTGCCCCAAAAAATGCCAGGGAATAGGCCAACGCAAATAGATGGGCTTCAAATACAGAGTAACAGACTCGAGGGAGCACCCCACACAATCTTGTCAGGAGTACAGCGGAGACTACTCGCGTCCGCGGAAGCAACCCGACGTCTCAAGCCTTTCAGCGCCTGGCACACCACAAATACCTTAGTAGAATCTTCCCACCCATGCAGCTTAACAAGAAGCTAAGACTTGAAAAACGTGTGGAGATCGCAGAGGGAGACTTACCCTCTGATTCCCAGTGTTCCAAGAGCTGCAAAAGCCCCTCAAGGCGGTCAGCCGGGGTACCAAAACCCCCCAAATCGTGCTCCCATTTATCCCATTCACACCACACCTTACTGTATCGAGTCCACGTGGCCCTGAGACTGGACAAATTCCATCAATCTACCTGACCGAGCGACCACATCTTCACCGGGAACAGAGTCCCCTCCAGAACCGCCTGCGGGGCAACCACCCGAAATTCCAACCACTGCGAACAAGAGCATCCGCCATTTCATTGTGAGCCCCAGGTATATGCTCAGCCCTACAATACACATTTAGGCACAAACACCGAAGCACCAATCGCCTAAGCAAGCAAACCACTGGAGGGGAGGAAGCCGTCAGCCAATTGATAGCTTGAACCACCTCCAGATTGTCAGTGAAACACGACCCGTTTATCCCGAAACTGGGACCCCCAAACCTCCACTGCCACCAAAATGGGGAAGAGCTCCAGGAAAGCCACATTCCAAGTGAGGCCAGAGACATGCCAACTGTCCAGCCACGTTGCAGCCCACCAACTAGAGCCCAGAATCGTCCCGAAACCCCACCGAGCCCACAGATCCATGTTAGAAACCTCCAGCGCCTGCCAGTAGGATAGGCCATTATATGCCGCCAAGAAGGAGTCCCATACCGCCGAATGAAATGCTGAGGCCCGTTGACCCCGGATGTTGCCGCAGCCAGAAGCCTGTTAAAGACCCGCCCCATTGGCATGATCCAACATGTGAAATTCAGCTTACCCAGCAGCGACTGCAGGCAGCACAGTTGGTTCTTGCGCAGCCCTCATTGCCGCTTCCCGCCTTAAGCCTTGAATCTTATCCAAGGTCAAATGGCATTCCGCTGCCACATAATCAATGTCAATGCCCAAGAAGCTGAGGCACATGGCCGGACCCACCATTTTGTCATGGGCCTATGGGATCCCAAAGCGTTGAAAAACATCCCCCAAAACCTGCAGCAGCAACGCACAGCCTGGCGAATTGACAAGATTCACACAAAAGAAGTCATTGAGGTAATGCAGCAGGAAGTTGATTCCTGGACTCCCTCCTAACCACCCATTCCAAGAATGTGCTGAAGCACTCAAAGTACAAACAGGATATGGAACAACCCATCGGGAGGCACATATCCATGTATGGGCAGTCCCAGGAACAGAAGCCAGATCCTGTGAGAAGAGCAGCGGAGATGAGTTAAGCTCACACCCCGCAGAGGAGGGCAGCCAAGGCAAATAGCCAGGGGAGAAAAGGGGACCAGCAAGGGACACCCAGGGAACAGGAGGGAGGGGGGCAGAAAGGAGAAGAGAAAGAGGGCTAGAAAGGGGAACAGAGAAAGGGGGGGACCCAGGACAGAAGGAACTAGAGAGGCAGAGGGGACCACAGAGGAAGGGGGTGCAATAAAAGAGGACAGGGAGGATACCACAGGGCAGGGCCGGACTGGCCCACCGGGATACCGGGAAATTTCCCGGTGGGCCGCGGCACCTGGGGGCCGGCCGCATTCCTGGCTGGAGCTGCCGGGCCGGGTGGCAGCTTCCCCGGTCCGGCGGCCCTGCTCCTCTCACTGCCAGGGGCGGGCTGGGCCGGGGGGGCAGGGAGGCAATTGCCCCCCAGGCCGCCCTAAATTCCTGTAAGACCGGCCGC